CCCCGAGTATCGCGGGTCCACCCCTTGTAACAACTAACAGCAGAAAAGCTAACACTTTAAAGCCTAAGATCTGGACAGGCTGTGGGCCCTTGTAGCCACTCCAAAACTCGGGGTTAACGAAATTATCATGACGTGGATCTGTGACAACAGATGATTCCCCGAGTATCGCGGGTCCACCCCTGGTAAAAACTAACAGCAGAAAAGCTAACACTTTAAAGCCTAAGATCTGGACAGGCTGTGGGCCCTTGTAGCCACTCCAAAACTCGGGGTTAACGAAATTATCATGACGTGGATCTGTGACAACAGATGATTCCCCAGAGAAGAAACTTATGACAGGATGCTTCTCTCTCTGAAGTGTAAAACAAGCATCAGCATAGTGAGGTATGTGTTCAGTGACCAAATGGTGTGGCTCCATTTGGCCTCTGTAATTCAAAGGCACAGAACGTTCCTGTGACAGCAGACAGATGTTTCCCTTTTGATCTCTTCAACTAGGGTTGCCAAGTCTTACCTACTGCTGGAGCGGGGGCCTCCCGGCTTGTTCCTGGAGTGCGCGCGCCGCAGTCACCCGGAAGTGGCGTGACTACGCCGGGCAAGCTGGGGGCGGAGCCATGACCATTCGAGGAAAAACCATAGAGTTTTCCCTCGAATGACCGTGGCCCCGTCCCCAGCATGCCTGGCGTGGTCGCGTCACTTCCAGGTGACGTGCACATTGCGTACTTTGGGGGTGGGGTTCCGCCCAGGGTCCGATCCGCCAGCGGCAGGGAACAGGCCTCTGGGGTGGGGTTTTCCCCGCCCCCTGGGGGGACTTGGCAAGCCTATGACTTCAACCCATTTTTCGGGCCTAAGTTTTGATATGAAGCCTGAACCAATATTTGAATGAAGGAACAAGAAATTGACTAGAGGTCAAATTTCTTGACAGTGGGTGAGGTGAAAGACCTCCGCCCGAGACCCTGGAGAGCCACTGCCAGTCAGAGTAGACCAGACTGACCTTTAGGGACCGGTGGTCTGAGCCAGTATCCGGCAGCTTCACGTTGGTGCAAAGCTGTGCTAAACCAGCTTTATTTACATGAGCTGAAAAATCAGCCGTTAGAGGCTTGGAGTTTAGTAAGATGGACGTGGTGTTGCTTTGGCACTGCAGGACCCCTGTGCCCTTCCTTTGGCAAAGGTCTTCCCACAATATAGGTGTTAGGGTTGCCAACCTCCTGGTGCAGCCTGGAGATCTCCAAGAGTCACAAATGGTCTCCAGATGAGAGAGATCAGTTCCCCTGGAGAAAATGGCTGCTCTGGAGGGCAGGTTCCATAGCAGCATAACCAGCTGAGGTGATTCCCTTCCCCAAACTTTGCCTTTTCCAGGCTCCACCCCCAAAACTCCAGGAAAATCCCCCTCCAGTTGGCAGCCCTAATTGGTAAAGTGAAATACTGCTGAAGAAGAGTGGGTGTCTTAACAGTGCTTGGAAGTCCTCATTTTTCATGGAATGGAAAACAGGTGTCTGCCCATTTCCCCCGTGGCAGGTTTCCCCTGGTATTTCCGAAGTGAGGGGAGAGACTGGATGCATACCCCGCCCTGCACTATCCAAAGGAGTTTCAGAGCTTCTTACAATCTCCTTCCCATAACAGACACCCTGGGAAGTAGGTGGGGCTGAGAGAGCTCTTTTGAGGACAGCCCTTGAGAGAACAGCTCTGAAGGAACTTGCGACTAACCCAAAATCACACCAGCAGCTGCATGTGGAGGAGTGGGGAATCAAACCCGGTTCTCCCAGACCACTGCTCTAAACTGGGTCTCAGTGGAATGCCCTCTCCTTGGCTAGACTGCTCAGTCTGCAGGTACCACAGCAGAGCTAATACTCACTGGTAATTTTCGCAGTACGTCTCGTGCTTTATAAAGCTGTAACTGTCCCTCTGGGAGTACTTGTGAGCGCGAAGGATTATCCGGGACTGAGATCCACCAAATGCCGCCTGGATCATAGGCAACCCCAAGTCTGCCTGCCAGTCATTCGTCACTTCTGCAGTCATTGCATTTGCCACATCCAACATGGAGTGCTCCACGGAGGCGGCCGCTTGGTCTTGGCACTTGCTATACACCTCCCAGTCGACAGCCTCCAAGGGGAGCCTCTGCATCTCCCCGTCCATCAGCGGATTCCGGCACAGGTTGCAGGTCCCGTTGGCTCCCCGCCACTGGCTGGTGTCCACCACAGAGGCCCCTTTCCTGCTCAGCGTGGTGATATCGAGTCCCTTGCCAATCAAGTTGTGCCCCGGCACGAAGCTTGTGGATTTCTGGCACTCATCACTGGAGAACGCTTGGCAGTGGCCAGAGGCTGTCGGTCGGAGGAGGGAGAGGAACTCAAAGGAGGCCGCTAGGAAGAAGAAGCTCAGCCTGGACATGGCGGCCCAGAGGGGGTCCTGTGCCCTGGAGGGCCGCTGGGCTTCTTAATCACCCTGGGGAGACAAACAGAGAAGGCTTCCTTGTGCTATCAGTCTGTTTCTTACTTTGGTGGTGGTGGAAAGTGCCATCAGGTCGCAGCCAACTTACGGCGACCCTGTAGGGGTTTTCAAGGGAAGAGCCACTCAGAGGTGGTTTGCCATGGACTGGCTTTGTGTAGTGTCCGTGGCTTGCCTTGGTGGTCTCCCACCCAAGAACTCACCAGGGCTGACTCTGCTTAGCTTCTGAGACCTGAGGAGATCGGGCTGGCCTGGGTATCCTAAAGTGGTGAAGCGCAGCAGACCCTACTCTAGAAGAACCAGGTTTGATTCCCCACTCCTTCACTTGCAGCTGCTGGATGACCTATGGCAAGCCATAGTTCTCTCAGAGCTGTTCTTTCAAGGAAAGAGCTCCCTCAGCCCCACTCACCTCACAGGGTGTCTGTTGTGGGGAGGGGAAGGCCACTCTGAGTGAAGGCCGGGGTATAAATCTAATCTCTTCTTCTTTTTCTAATAAGTCCTCCTAGAAGTTCAGGCTCGCGTTTGTAATCTTAGCTCACTGCATCTTGTGTTGTATGCAAGGTCAAAATCTAGTGACTGGCACAAAGCTGGGCCACAGAACTTCTGGACCGAGGAGGATTTGAATTCAGAGCAAGATATCACATTGAGAGGCGAACCGTGGGACTCCATCCTTGGAGTCTTTTTATGGCTGCCTCAACAAATGCATGTTCCTTAACCTACAAACGAGAGTTCCTTAACCTACATTCCATAACCTACATTTACTAGATTCAGGTGGGAAGCCTGAACCTGAAGAAGTATCTGAAGATGTGCGCGTGCACATGGAAGTTTCACCCAGAATAAAATTTAACTGGTCTTAAAGGTGCTACTGGACACAAATTTTGTTCTGCTACGTTTACTAGGGTAATGTGGGGGGGGGCGGGGGCTTTTGTAGGGAAGAATTGGTGGGCAGGTTGAGGTGGTTAACCCTCCCTTTGTCTCCTGGTTCTCCCCTGTGGATGCCCTTTTACATCAGTTTTTAAGCTCAAGTTCTTCCCTAAATAGGATTCTGAGCCTAAAATGAACCTAGGTGGGGAAACAATTTCTCTGGAGGGGGTGAGCGCTGTCATGGAGAGACCTATCCTCTTGCCCACTGATTGATGTCACTTACAGATCTCTCTCTCTCTCTCTCTCTCTCTCTCTCTCTCACTCACACACACACACACACACACACACACACACACACACACACACACACACTCTCAGACAATGGAACTCTAGCACACGTTGTCCAGTGTGTGGCAACTGGAGTAGATAGAGCCCTATTGGAGGAACCAGTTGATAAACTGGCTTGCATCAATGGAAACATTCCTCCAGGTGATATTGCTTCCAGGATATCTCACAACCCCGAAACCCTTCTGTAAGCTTTGGCAGCCCCTCTAGGGGTGCCAGTCTCCAGGTGGGACCAGGGGATCCCCCAGAATTGCAGCTCATCTTCAAACTAGAGAGATGAATGCCCCTGGAGAAAATGGAGACTTTGGACTCTATGGCACTGCACCCCACTGAGGTCCCTGCCCTCCCCAGTCTACATCCCCAAATTGCCGGGAGTTTCCCAGCCTGGATCTGGCAACCCTCCTCATCTCCCAGCAGTGGCCAGGGGGGACCCCGCAACCCTACCTTAGGCTAAGGTCCCCTCCATTCCCCTGTACCTACCTGAGGACCGTGTAGGGTTGTTCAGCCGAAAGTCCGTGAGGCTGGGGAAGCTAAACTGAAAGTCAAATGTCTTCCTCTCTCCCCCTTTATATCTCCCATTTTTGAATGTATGAATCATGAAACATCTGAGAAGATGAGCAGAAGTGAAAGGAATCTCTCCCCCCCCCCTTTTATTGAAATAATATGTTTCTTGAAAAAGGGAAGGAAGGATCAGATAGATAAAGTTGGCAATTTAACGCCATGAAAAAAAATCTAGGATGTGCCAAGGCCTGAGAACTCAATTCGTGGTTTAGAGATCACTTCAGGGCCTGTCAGCCAACCAGACATATGTTGGGACTTCCCTGTGGAAACTCAATTCCCACACTGGTGGTGGGGGGGGGAGGCCTGGCTCAGGACCCTGGTATGGGG